TTAAATTCGCAATTTTTTTAGTTACCTTGTTTGCTTGATATGGCAGCTAACTTTATACATTGTAATAATAATAAACGTAGCCAGTAGCTGGCTGATACGGTTCATGATGATTTACTGTAGCTATTGACTACTCTATCACATTAGTTCGAGATGTAAAAGTTAAGCTACAGCTGGAGATTGTCATGAAGATTTGTTTGGGATTACAGTGAGCATTTATAGTTTCTGTGTAACTAAATTATCTATATATAATGCATAGCAACTGGCAAACATATGCCCAGACTAAGACACAACCCCCACTAAGCACATATAAAATTTTACTAGTAGAAATGCAGCCTTTTCAAATAAAACATATACACCTAAAACATTGCTTTAAATAAGCTTTCGTGTCTTTTAAAGTAATTATTCTATGAATGTGTGCAATGAAATTTAATATTATGTGTATTAATTTTTTTTTACTCCTTCACTTCATACATAATATAGGAGTTAGCCCCCTAGAGACACCAATCGTACAATGGTCAAAGCATTCAGTATGTACATGTTACAGTCATCTAGTGTGCAACTATTATTGGCTGGTAATTCCTGTTTGACCTTGTACCTAAGTTTTTAAAGGAACACCAAATATTTGCAACAAAGCTAAATTAAGGGGTAATGATGTTTTCAGCTTATGTAAAATATAGAAATAATAAATCGACTTGTAAATACCCTACAACCTTCACACTACCTTGTATAGTACTCTACAAAAGGTTTTGCTGCAATACACCAAGCCATTTTTGCTGTAGGCTGACAAAAGAAAGAATAATAATAATAATATGAATAACTGAGCAGTTTATGACAGATTTTATATTCATTTTAAATATCAGATTGTTTATTTTTTCTGAATTTTTTTAAACATGTATAGCTTTTAGTAATTCAAAGAAAGATTTTGAGTGTGTTTCGGGAACAAGTTTGCTTTCTAAGGTAGTTTTTGCCATGCACTGTATAAGAGTGCTTTGTCAAAACATGATTGATCCCTATTATGAACCACTATCATGGTTTATGATAACCTGCGATTCTCCCAGAAGTTATAAGCTGTTTCAAATGAATGAACCAACTATTCAAAGTTGTTTATTTTTTCCAACCCTTTTTTAAATTTTTCATGCCCTAGACAATAAACCAATTTTCACAAAAAAATGCAGTATTACCTTCCCTGTAGTTGTTCATTGGAATTAATTGGTTTCAGATTTGACTCGGGTAACTCCAAAAGAGAAGAATCCACATAAAATTTCCATCTCTGAGAAAGTTTTTAAACTGAAGTCTTTATAAAAGACCCCTATGTAACTTAAAAAGGTAGGAAAATGTAATGCATTTATTACTTAGTGCAAGTAAAATGTACAAAGATCATCAACCTTAATATTTAAAAACTAGGAAGTCATATAAGGTGGATTTTAGAAAGCAGGCAGCGCAACACAAATAAATTATATGAAATTTCTCATGGGGGCTCCACAAAAACTGATTTGCCCTGCACCCTCCTAGGGCCAGAAAATTTTAATATTTAAAAACTAATAACTTGTACCTTGTTGGCTTTAAAAAATCCCATAATGTGATTTTGTAATACGATCATTTCTAAAGATGTAAAATTTTCAAAATTTTGTTTTGAGTCAATATTTTCAAAAAACATTAAACACCTTCTTTCATTAAATATTTTGTTTTGTTATTGATCAGACAATTCAATTTAATTATCCAATCAGTTTTAGCTTGACTCATATTCATTAACATATTTCATTTGATATTTATCTTACTAATTGCAATATTCATCACCTTCAGCTATAAATCATAAAACACATGGTGAAAACTAACAAACATTTATCAATGACCTACAATCTAACCTTTCACAACAGCATCACCATTACTTTTGTCAGGCTAGGTAACAATATTCTCAGTCAAGATCAAAGATTAATATATATCTAATGTATAGTTTCTTTAGTATAAATAATAATATCTTCTACTTACCTTATAATCTACATTTTTCAAAAAGGATAAAGTTAACAACAATATTTAACAAATAAGAATTTGAGTCACGAATATTTTGCCATCACCCACTGTACTGTTAAAATTTACTAAGCTTACCTGATGTCTTATCATAGAATAAAATCTACATACCTTTCGAACAGATAAAATTTTACACACAAATATTTTCAGGAATGAAAAGAGCTTCTAAAGAAACTAAAAAAAAATTGTCAGATCTGTAGGTTGTTAATAAGTCTTTTTTTCATGGATAGATTCCATTGTTCACCTCCAAGGAGATCTGTCTAGCCACCTTTCCGAGAAACCATAAGTTATTTACTCTATAATGACGTAAGCCAATTATAATCTGCTCTATCCAATAATATTTAAACTTTGCCTGTATCTATTTATCAAAGCTGTGCTTCACTAGTGATTTTTAAGACCACATACTTGACATTATAAAAGGCTGGAATGGAAAAGTCATAATAATAAAACCTCAAAGAGAGAAGGAAAATAATGAGTGAAACCATATATGACTAATTGTGTTCTCAAGGGATGATTGTTTCTTAATAAATATTTAGGATGGGAAGAAAAATTCTAAAGAATTTATAAGTTTGTGAGTTTTAACTTTTTTATCTACTTTGCAAATTATACTAATAAAATGTTAAAAAATGGCAAAACGTTAATTTTAAAATAAATTTTAATTTAAAGATTTTTTTAAGAGTTAAAACCATTTTAATCAGATTTTGAAATATGATATGCAGGTGTGCACAGGTCGTAGTAGGGTTAACGCAGAGCAGTAACACAATCATAACAACATGTCTTCAGAAAAGTCTCTAGTAGAAACTAGTTATGTTATTTTATATAACTTATTTTTATAATACTTTGATTTGAAATGAGGCATACTTCCTACTCCACTGAATGTTTACTATCATGTAGATATATATATATATATATAATATAGGAATCATAACAACATGATAATACTATGTCAATAGAACTCTACCTTACAGCTCTTTGCTGGTAGTAAGAAACAAACTGGGGCACTTCAGTCTTTAAATTATAAGTTGTTGGCAACCATTTAGGCCATGTCTTCAGAGTGTTTGAGTCAACAGTGTTATTCACTGGTGCTGCCCTTCTGCATGTGATGGCAAGTAGATCTTTCACAGTGAGGATGTGCTCAAATGGAAATTGATTGATCATCTTGTGAGGGCTACTAATGCTCAAATCTCTGTAATCAAGCATTAACAGTTTATTAATCTACAATGCCATAAATTTCAAATAAATATAGTTACTTGAATCTTGGCAGTTCATGATTTTGTATCACTAATTTTCTTTTATTTACAAAATAGATTACAAAATAGATAAATAGCTTGCAAATAGATTATTTAAGAAAACTGTACCTGTATTCTTTGAAATGAAAATTATACCACAGAATATCAGCTTCATTTTCATCATGTACTATTTCAAATGCTGGATGGTGTAAATTTTCCCTTATGACACTATACTCAGCATATACTTTTAGTTTTCTTTCTGTTGGAATACCTGGAAAGTCCTGGGTTAGGTCAGGAGTAGTCTCTTTCACTCGACCACTCTATACAGTATGAGAGTTTATAATACAGAAATTATGCATGATGAAAATTAATAATCAGTAAACATAATTGACTAAGCCCCTATACCTTCAAAACCCAAATCTTCATTCATAGTTACTTAACAATCCTACACTTTCAAACCCAAATTTTCTTTCATTCATAGTTCTAAAATACACTTCAAACTAAATTTCAATTTATTCACACTCACTAGTACACAATATTTAATTAGATTCTTAATTATCTAAGAGTATACTACTAATAATCTTAACTCTAACTTTACATATTTCCATACTACATACATTTTTCTAGCATTTAAACCTTGTACTAATTCTGAAAAATGTTCAAGTAGATATTTTTTATGTTTAACCAATGTGACTTGGATTACATAAAAATTATAGAAATAAAGAGTAAAATATAGAATATTTTTTTAAATCATCGATGCTTATATATGCACATACAGTAAAATTATACAAAATAAGCCCTATTGAAGAAATTTAAAGAATCAGTGCATTTATTAACCTTGGATAGTAATAAAGATACAAACAGATGCAGAGTTACCTGTAAAAAATTTTCACTTTGTTCATACCAATTCCAGTTTACATCACTCATATCACATGGTTCCCATGGAATTCTCAGGGCTTTGCGGCTCAAAGCATCAGTGGCTAATCCTTCAATATAGTCTCGAGTCACTTCCCCTAGAAGTAATTTTATAATTATCTTGAAGCTTAAGATCACAAAGAAAAAATTCAATGTTTGTACAGATCATGAAGTCACAGTTTCGTCCAATATTAGAATACTTTTATATCTTATAGCAAGAAAAAGTTAATGAAAGTGATCCATGTTTTTCTAACCATATCTTGATAAAGAAAAAAAACTAAAACTTTCAAAAAACTTTGCACAAAATTAGTTTTATTTACTAAACTACAATTATTAAATACACCAAAATAAAAAAATATGAAAATTCTAAAAAAATTTGGTTTCACGTGTTTAAATCACGTTAGAGAATTGAGATATATGAAATGATTAAAAGCCTGACTTTCAACAGTTTAGCAGCAATGAAAAACTTGTGCATCGATTTTAACATACAAAAAAAGCCAACTGAATGAACCTTGATATTCCACTTGCTTTATCGGAAAGAGAAGCGTAAAAGAAGTCTGTGCTGGAACATCATAAAAAGGTACAGTACGAAAGTTAGGATTGTCAGAGTGCTGGATACGAGATCCAAATTCATCCATTACATACCACAAAGGAGAAGCACTCTCAGCTTCCTGCAAGACAAAAATAATATTGTTTGTACAAGTGAAACATTTTAATTCTATGTATGAATGTATTCAGAAAAAATACTGTAAAACTAATGTAAGAATTAATCTAGTAAATCTAAGACAAGGTCAAATACAGTTCAATCAAGGAAAAATACATGCAAAACCCATGATTTTGGAAGAAAACATTCTACCTACTTACTTCACAAGCAACTGAACATAACTGGTCGTCATACAATATTTTTATGGAATATAAACTTCAAAAATCATTATATTGCTGTAAAATTTATTTTCAATGTTTTAATTTAAATGTTTGCTGGAGGACACATGCTGCTATGATCTGAAAAATTTGTACTGTGAGAAGAAGTTGAGTACGATATAAATACGAGTAAAATAAAGCAGTGAACCAATGAGTAATGAAGGATTTATTGAGTATTTAATAAGCAATTCAGTTCAGTATTAGTAGTGAGAGTTATTGCGTCTATTAACAAGAGAATTCAAGTACGTTTATTTGAGAGTTAGGCAAACCATTGGTCTTATAATACCTGTTAAAACTATAATTATGAATTTAGATCCATAACTTATAAGAAAAGTTATTCAACTTAGCATTATTTTTACCAAATATTCCAAGAGAACTAGCCCAACATTAGAACATGCTACAACAGTTTTAAAAAGTCCGAGGCTAATTGCTATTTTCAGAACGAAGGTAAAAATTCTACTTAATTTCCAAAACGTTTCTTCACTTTTATTTTTACTTCAGAGCCTATAGTTGTCGTAAGAGCTGTAAATATTTCAATACGATATGAAATGCTGTAAACATGCATTACTATCATGTAATATGCATATCACATATGTTCACATGAGATGCACTTGCCTTTATGATTACTCATGTGGTAAATCCACTATTTAATAAAAAATAACTTACCTTCCATGAGTATAACACACAATTAGTGGTATGCAAGTACTTTATATGCTACATGTGGTGACTTTTCTATATCTTAATAAATAGGTTTCAGCATCTGATGTGAAATTTGTAATTGCATTGTAATTACTCAATCTACATTTTAACACAATGTTTATACTAGTTATGTTCTAGTTTCACAAAACAATAAAGATGAGTAAAAAAGTTACAGAAGTACTTACAATTATTTGTAAAACAAATATTTGATATAAAATATGCCCTTATTTCAGGATATAATATATTATTAGTATTCTATCCAACAAGTTTTCTTAGACTGTAGAAGAGATGCAGTAAAAACTCCACAAGGTAAGATAATATAAAATAATAAAAATACTAGACAATATTGCTAGATATTTCAGTTAGCACTTGAAACTTTGATATAATTGGGTGTAAAACATTAGAATTAGCATAAAGTATGATGGCTTAGTCTGTTCTTGAACTGAATTAAATTAGTTTCAGGGAAAACATCTCATCAACAATGCTGGAGAAGGAATAACCAAAAACAGGCTTCTGGTATAAGTGACTGCAGTTCATTGATGTGGTGTATGTAATGACCTTTAAAATAACCCATAGTAAAATAAATACAAATTTCCTGAGGTAGTAAGGGAAAATCCACATGCCATTCTTAGCATGTTCAATATTTGTTCAACTGAAAATGTACATTAAACTACAATAGTAATATTATTTTTCTGTTTTCATTTTTATGTACTGACATTTTCTTATTACCATTATTTATCAAGTTATCACCTAGCCTCTTAAACTTATTCATTTTAAATGAACACAGTTTCATCAGAAGTTCAGAATATCTGTCTCAAAATCTAAAGAGTTAAATAAGACACCAGGAAATTATCATTTAACCTCAGTAAAACCAAATTAACCACAATTAACATTTATTTTTTAAATTTAAAAATATATATACACATTATTTTAGATATAGTAATCTTAGGATTTTTGTTTAGTGTTATATAACCTGTTCCATACTGTCTTAGGCAAGTTTATCTACATTTTGTAATTCAGGGTGTTCTGTGTGAAATATATTGCCAAATGTAATACTCATTTACAGAAGTCTTAAGAAAAATTTAAAACTAGTTGTTAAAAATTTTATGTACATAAATAAATATACATTTTCTTTAAAACAAAAGACATTTTTCATCAGTGACATAGAGCCCTCCTCCACTGGTTCAAGAGCAAGTCTGTGGGGTTATAACACCAAAAATTGAGTTAGAATATTCACATTGACAGAGCATAAACCCATTGTGTAGATTTGTGCTTAATGACAAACAAACAATTGACCTATTCTATCATTTTTACATAAAAGGATAAAGTATTATCTTGGCCTTAAAACAATATCAGTTGAAACCATGTGTGATGCGAGATTAAGCATCAGCTGGAAAAAGATAGTCTGGTGTAAAATATTTAATTTACAATTAAACAAGCATTGCATATAAACATTTTCCAAGAAATGTGCATGTTTTTGAACAACATATTAGAACTGATAATGATATCTTAACAAAACAGATATTATTTGAACTTACAATGTTTGTCCCTCCAAAGCTATATGACTGGTTGTACCTGCAAGTAAATATGTGGTCAGGTAAACAAACAGTAAATACATTCATTAAATTTAAAAAACAACTTGTAATTCTAGAATAAATATTTAACAATCTATATACACAAATATATGTTTTGGTTTTTCAAGTATAATTTCAACTAAATATTGATACAAACACAGTGATAGTGAGACCAAATAAAGTTTCCCTTACACTTTCTTTGTCTCTCCAGTTCAACAAACGCACAATCACTTGCCCATGTATTTTTTTTGTTTTAATCAACTGGTGGCTGATAAAAAGTTTTGAAGACCCATGTGACAGTGAGATAATTAACTAAATAAAAAGCATGTTTCTAATTATGAATCCTTTTTATACTTAAACTAGGAGTACACTGTGAAAGTTAAGTATAACCTCCACTTGTAAAGCCTCATGTAAATCAGTCAGTTGTTACCTCCACATGTTACTCAAAACACTGGTGATCATTTCTTCTCGAGATTTTTCTTCAGTATCAATCTCCATCATAGCAAGCATTCTTTCCAACAGCCCAGGAATTTCTGCTAAATGCTGATGAGCCACACTGATACTGTATGTCCAGGCATGATCAATCAAGTAGATGCTGATGTAAGAACACACAAATGTAAGGATGGGGAAAATAACAGCACAAATTCTGAGAAGTTAAAAGTTCAGTATCATGTCAAAAACTATTATCTGATCCTCAAAAACTAAAGAAATAAAAACTACATTTTCATCCACATGAAAATGTTGATACTAATAAAATAATGCATTACACTCATTATATGTAGAATAACAAATCTCACAATATTTCACTGTTCTCAAATAAAAAAAGATCAATTATTAATAAGCAGTAGCTCTTGGAAACTAAACAGTTTAAAAAGAAATCTGCACAGAGTGCATGCCTCCAACTGGACATTTTTTATGTATATTAAGTAATTGTTGATATGAAACTAAAATAAAAAAATGCTTAATTCCTTAAGTTAAAAATATCATGAAACATTGATAATTTGTCTGAGCTAAACAAAGTCAAATATCCAGAATGACAAATATAATTACAGGAGATAAATTTTAAAGAAGTTACTGGTGATAACCTTATTGTTTTAAAAATTCTAAGCCTTTTTCTTTTTTTTTCAGTAAGTTAACTCCTCAAAGTTCTTGAAATAAAATCAGGTCCTATGTGAAAAATGGTTCTATAATTAATACATAAAATTATGGAATTAAAAATGAATACTTTTCTCTAAGAAAAAACACCTATACTTACTGTTGTGGATCCTGTGGATCAACACCTTCTTTTCTAATTACAATAACTTTCCATAGAGGGAGATGACATCTGTCAGTATTTTCATTTTTCGTGTTGGAGTTATCACTGTCATGCTTGTTCTCTTCTTCACTGTTGTTAGAATTCACTTCTTCAGATTCATCATCACTATACTCAAGCTGACAAAAGTAGAGTACCTAATTTTCTTTCTCATATAGCATAATGTATTCCACATAACACTAATTTCCAATCAAATAAATAGATATAAGCCAAAAAAATAGGGATCTAAAAATGCTTTACTATGGGATATAGAAGATATGCATGTGACATCATGCACTGGGCCAGCTTTGTTTATTTGACCATATTGGATGTAAAAATGAACTGGTTACATGCTCAGAACCGAGTCATGTAATAATGCCAATTGTTTGTGTTGCTGTTTCCTTTCCTGTGTAATGTGAGGCACTGAAAACTAGGTAATTGAAAATATCTGGGTATTCTACATCGGGAATGTCTACAACTGTGTCTCCATTTGTTAACATGACTAATGAATCGGCATCTAAATTTGTGGTCATTGCCAGGGAAATAGATACAGGTCTATCATAGCAATTCCAAACTGCTGACATTTTTCCTTTTACTAATATTTAGATGGTTCACCTAAACCCTTTGTCAAAATGCTAAATGCAAAGTTTTCCTGTACAGAATGTAATATTAGAGTTGAGAAAGTGGTCATGTTTACGTCCAAAATGGCAGATAACAAAACTAGTTCCACTTTCAGTGATGTGACTGCATATCCTTTATAGGTTGTTCTTCCCCGACTCTGACCAAATTAATTACAAAGAAAGAGACAGTACTAAAATATACAATTAAAATCTTTTATTTCACTAAATATAATAGTGACAAATATAAAAAAGATACAGGCAAGTGTTTGTGGAACAGGAGAGAGAGAAAGTATAAGAGAAACTTTATTTGTCTTCAACAAGAACTTGCAAATGTCTAACACAAAACTTAAAATGTTTAAGAAACTACCAAATAATGCAACATTTTCATCCACTTAACAGTAAACTATATCAATGGTGCTTCATTTCAGTGACTAAAAGTAGGTATATTTTTTGGAAATAATAATATAACAAGTCCCTCAGGAGCCAAGGGGTATCTTTACACTACAAATTGCTGGATATTAAAAGAAAGTTCAATCGAGAAACTACCAAAGAGCATGGTTTTGGATGTATCTTTTTGAGACAAGTTTTTGTTTGTTAATTGATGACTTTTTAAGTGAAATACAGCATCCTCAATTCTCCATACTAGCTAGTACTAAGGTCTACTCACTGGAAGTAAATTTAGTATATATCAATAAAGTTATATTCTCAGCATCATTAATTAAGAAATTGCCAACCTTTCATGCTTCTGCTATCACCTTTTTATGTTTAGCTTTCAATTGAGATACAAATGATTTCACCTGCGATTCAGTAGGGAAGGTCAAAGCACCACGACAGTCAGCAGAAGGATGAGTAGACAGGAACACTTTGAAAGCATAATATTGTATTTGACTTGCTGCACAATATCTACCAAGGTG